TATATATTATTATTATATATATATATATATATATATATATATATATATATATATATATATATATATATATATATATATATATATATATATATATATATATATATATATATTCAATTATAGTAGGCCTACTTATGTGTTTTCAATGTTTTCTGTGGGCTTGTTTTCTACTCTTTGAGAAAAATATTGTGTGCCCTTTTTGCACGTGACCATTTATCCGTGATAAACACTTGCCACTTGGCTTCATAGTTTCCAACGGATGCGCAGCCTCAGACACATGTCATGCCGTGTGCGGATGCTTGAACATAGCCCTGCATGTAGACATCATATTGTTAGGATAGACATACTTTACGGTGCGGCCTCTAGATTATATGCTGTGTCGCTGCTGCTACTGCATACCACTATGTAGCTATATACTTTATAACAACACGGACTGGTCGTTGTATCTTGATACGACTTCTGAGGTCCATTATGCAGGGCCTTTGTTCAAACGTCGTATGAATATAAATAAATAAATAGCCGCCTTCTCCTAAAAATGATAAACACTGTATATGAAAAATTGTAAAGCCCGCCAATAATTCCTTCCCTTTATTTGTAAATTTTATTTTATTTTTTGTTCAGACAGTCTCGTCACACATAAATATGATACGACAGGCCTATAAAAGGTACCGAACTCCTCCACACTTCCGGCTCGCTAGTATTTTGGGCTATGCACGTTTAACTTTCGAAGAAAATCAGCACACATGGTCGAGCTTTCGAGGGATCGATTTCGGGTAAATTGCGTGATAGAACGGGCGATACCGGCTTGAGGGAGGAGGTCCTCGTCGGAGACACCTTTATCACCAAATATGCAAAAAAAAAAAAAGGCGAACATATATCGAAATTGCAGTCTAAGATTGAAGGCAAGTATTGCATCACTGATGCTACGATTCTGATATATTTCTCTTACTTTGTATGTTAGGTCTAAAAGCGAATTTGTTGACATTGGTCCTCCACACAATATGTTCTCCACACGACTATAAGCGTGAGCTGTAGAGTCTACTACCCCTTCCGGCACATCAAATTGTAAAATGGCGGACTAGGAATTTAGAACAAAAAATGTACATTCAACAGCAACAAGAACACACTTCTAACATGGGAAAATAATCCAAATGCAAAAAGCTTTGTAACACCATCTGACGACCTCATCAGAATCGTCTAGGACCCAACTGCGACATTGCATCGTGCACAACCGGCGATTCTACACTCTTTTGCCGACGTTGTCGGGTACTTGGTATCAGAGGAACAACATACGCACATCGATTTCAATGAACTTTCGTACACAAACTTCAGTTAACAGCAATAACCATTCGTTCGTTTAGTGGTTTCAGACTTGAGTTGTATCACAATCTTTTGTGAAAACAGAAAACCCGCTGAATGTTTTCCTAGCTGATACGAATAAGAACCAGAGCTAGTAAAGAGGAAGTTGAATGATCATATTACAACACATTACAGCTGACTGCTAAAGAAGCTAAAATAGTCAACTGTCTAATAGCCGGGCCTCCACATTAGACTCTATGTTATAACGTACTCTTAAGCAGTACGTAAACTATAAACGTACTCTTAATAGTACGAGGAACTTAAGTTTCCTAAATGGGTTTTAACGGTTTTATTGATTAATACCTTTCCCATTTTACATATCAGATATTTGGACAAGGCCATTAAAGAGGCCCCAGTAAGATACCAAGCATAAGATATGGTCTAGTTCTATAAATAGAACTATATTTACTTTCCAAATCTATTTATATCTGAATACTTCGGTAGCGAGATAGCTCAACCGAACATAGGTTTCTGCGTTGCTTAGTTTATCCTCCGTTCAGCCAAC